GCAAGTTCGGACAAATGTGGGGCTGAAGAATTCGTTGATGAATTCGAGGCATACGTAGAGGCTGAGGATTCCTCCCCCAACAACTCTTCATTTGTGACAAAACAGGCCTCTTTTGGAAGAAAATGCCAAAGAGGACCTATATCACACAGGAGGAAAAGGCACTGACAGGACACAAGCTTATGAAGGATAGGCTAACTCTTTTGTTTTGTGGTAATGCTAGTGGGGATTTTCAAAGTGAAGCCTTTACTGGTGTATCACTCAGAAAATCCATGAATGTTCAAGAAAAACAGTGTCATCAAGAGTAAATTGTGTGTGATGTGGAAGGCTAACAAAAAGGCATGGGTCATGAGGCAAATTTTCATTGAGTGGGTCAATGAAGTGTTTTGCCTGAGTGTGAAGAAATAACTCCTGGAAAAGCAGTTGCCACTCAAGTGCCTCATGGTAGTGGACATTGCTCCTGCTCATCCTCCAGGCTTGGAAGACCAGTTGTTGGAGGAGTTTAGTTTCATCACAGTGAAGTTCTTGCCCCCTAATACCACTCCTCTCTTCCAGCCCATGGACCAGCAGGTCCATGGGCTGGAGTGACCTCGGACACTGAATTGAAGTGACCTCAGACACTGAATTGAAGTGACCTCAGACACTGAATTGACCCTATGAGAGTTCTGGAGGAATCACTTCAGTATTCTCAATTGCATAAGCCTTATAGATAAGGCTTGGCAGGGAGTGGCCTTCAGGAGGATGAACTCTGCTTGGAGAAAATTGTGGCCAGAATGTGTCCTCAAGAAGGATTTTGAAGGGTTTGAGGCTTATCCTGATGACCTTATGCCTGTTGTGGAATCTATTGTGCCTTTGGGGAAGTCCATGGGGTTGGATGTGAGTGAGCAGGATGTGGAAGAGTTGGTGGACGACCACAGGGAAGAGCTAACCACTGAAGAGCTGCAAGACCTTTAACTGGAACAGCAACAGACCGCAGCTGAGGAAATTGTTTGGGGGAGAGGAGGAGGAGAGAGGGAAGAATGTGCTTTCTTCAGTAATTAAGTACGTGTGTAAAGTGGAATGAGTTGCAAAGTTTTGTAGAGAAATATCACCCTAACAAAGCTGTTGCACCCTGTGTCTGCAACATGTTCAATGACAATGCCTTGTCCCATTTTAGGCAAATCTTAAAGAGATGCCAGAAACAGACCTCTCTGGACAGATTTTTTTGTGCGACAGAGATCCAGTGACTCAATCTTGTCCTAGTGCCAGTAAAAGACAAAGAAGGGAAGTAACCCCAGATAGGGCCTTGATATCTGAATTCCTTATGGACAGGGATTTTCCTTCCAAACAATAACCTCTCCTCCTTCCTCTCCCCTCCTCGTCGTCTTCCATACGCCAACAAGAGTCTTCAATAAAGGTAGAAGTGATGTTAAATGTTGATTTATCCATTTCATTAGTCATTTATATTTATTTCTCATTGTTTTCTGTATGTAAAACTATAGTTATTCTCTATAAAATGTATTTTTTTTTTAATTGGGTATATGGAATGGATTACAGTAATTGGATTTGCATTATTTCTTATGGGAAATATTGCTTCAGTGTTCGTACGATTCAGTTTTCGTCAGACTTTTTCGAACGGATTAATCACGAAAACCAAGGTTCCACTGTACATTATAATTACCAGTGTTCAAAAGTTGCTTGAATAAGGCTTTTTTGAGTAATTGAAAATGTGTAAGAAGGTAAATAAAAGTGTACCTGAAAATGTTGCAAAAATAAGAGTTTTCCCTCTTTAGCCCCTTACCTGTCCAAACATAGATCGACATTCTTACCGCTAGCACTCCAAATGTAGATCTGTGTTTTATTTTTCCTGCCTCCAAATTTGGCACAATTGCCCTGAGATGCCTGGTCAGTATAGGATGGGTCTTAACACTTGGTGTGCGTAGTATTAAAAAAAATCTGGGACCACTTAGTACCTTGTGGGATCACCAGTTCAATGGAGCACCAGCTAGAGCAAATAGTCTGGCAAACGCCAGAGAGTCACTGATGTCATGTCATATTAACACTTCCCTTTTAAGAGGAAAGTGATGGATGTAGTCACACGTGGTCAAGGCAATAACCTCGATAATAACCCATATGTAGCATTTCTGCAACATCCTTTCGTTTTTTATACCACTGGCTGTCTCTCTGTCTTTATCTGTCTATATCTCTGTCTATATCTCTGTCTATATCTATCTGTCTATATCTCTGTCTATCTCTGTCTCTCACATGCATACATAAGTACAGTTCTTATACATAGTGTAAATTACCTAGGATAACCCAAAATTTCCAGGCAAAGTGCTATGTAGTGCTTGTAGATATAAGACATAATAAGCATGATTAGCAACTCAGTGGCAAGTAATACACATTTTCACTTCATCAGGAATCAGACTACTGCATCGTGTGTAATACCTGTTGGTTTACAAGCCGCTCTCTGAGACTAAAGGACAAGCAGATGGAAAGGCACACACACAGGCAGACAGAAAAACCTAGACACAGGCAGACAGAAAGACAGACACACACACAGGCAGACAGAAAGACAGACACACACACAGGCAGACAGAAAGACAGACACACACACAGGCAGACAGAAAGACACACACACACACACACACAGGCAGACAGAAAGACAGACCCATACAGGCAGACAGAAAGACTGAGACACAGGCAGATAGAAAGACCGAGACACACAGGCAGACAGAAAGATACACACACACAGGCAGACAGAAAGACAGACAGGCAGAAAGGAAGACAGATAAGCAGAGCTAGACAGATAGACAGACAGACAGACATGTTTGTGTGTAACAGTGAAAACAAATAAAGCCAGGGGTTCCCTGCAGCAGTGCATGATCATCAAGTGTCAAACCACTGATTACCCTGTCAGCAGTTTACTGACACTCATCATAAACACCATGCTTTAAGAAGTTTCATATACGTATACTCCAACATGTCTAAAACATTACTGAGGCATATAAATACTTTGTATATATTTCTAGACATTAGTAAATGACCAGGGCAGGTGAAAATCTTCACCTGTCAGTGTGATTGTTACAATTTGAGTACTATTTCAGTACATAATATTAGTGTCAGAACAAAGATTGGCTATGAAATCACAAGAACTATTATAAATTGTAATTATCAGAATATAAAAATTATATAAATTAAAATGAAAATGAGAAAAAACGGTATATCGGCAACACTTCTGCAAGCAGCAGGACTCGATGTTGCCGTCAAGTGAGCATCCAGTGCCAACTTCGCGGTCTTATATCTCGGTAAGTACTGGTCCTATTTTTTTTTTTTTCAAATATTCAGAGCGCTGGGCGAGAGAACGTAGATCTACATATGGACAGTTAAGGGATTAAACTTAAAATTTTTTAAAAATATGAATTTTAATTTTTTTCCCAGTTTTCTTTTCTCATTTACATTCTGTTTAAAATTATCTTCACTCCTGCATTTTTGGCCCCAAGGTTAAAATAAGCCATGGTTGAGTGGTAGCCTTAGTGAGGGATAAAAAGTAAACATTGGGTATCAAAAATAAACTAATGTAAGTACATACACGTAAGATGATAAGGGATTAATGACGAGCCATGTTAAGATATTCATTGCTCGAAATAGATTAATATTTTACTTGTGAATCATTATCACTTAACCAGTAACCCTACCCTGGTACAGTAAAAACAATTTAAGCAACTACTGGAAAAATATTAAACATCTGCTTCTTTGTAACATAAAGTGCCTCTGGAGTTAACCTGGGGCCTAAAATGGTGGCAGGCACCATGTTTGAAGGCACAAGAATTAGATGTAGAATTACATTGTGCACAGATTGGCTCTCTGCATTCAGGTATATCACACTAGTTATGGGTTAATAAAGTCTAATTCTTCAGTAATGCTCATTGAATAAATGCTTAGGCAGGTAATAGAGGACAATAAGGTGAGCTAGGATTAGGTTTGAAATTGAATTCTGTCTCTTCTGTCACCTTTCTCTCCTTAACTTTACAATGTGATTTGTTAGTGCTTCTTGCACTAACATGTAACACGTGTCAGATTAGATAAGATTTTGTTTGGATTTTTAACCCTGGAGAGTTAATCACCCAGGATAACCCAAGAAAATCAGTGCGTCATATAGGGCTGTCTGTCTTATTTCTACTGGGGTACTTAAATCTTGTCCTCCAGGATGTGACCCACACCAGTCAACTAACACCCAGGTACTTACTTGCTTGCTAGGTGAATGGGACAGCATGTAAAAAAACCCTTGCCTGTTTTTTTCCCCCCTTTCGGGGGATCAAACCAAAAGCCACTGTGGGGAATAAAAAGGGGTTGCTTCCCGGGCCAGGGGAAACCCCAAAAATTCCCTTTCCCTTTCATTGCAAGAGCTTGTTAGCTATATACATGCTCTAATATTCTTCATAAATGTTAAAAGATAAAAATTCATTTACTCCTTTCCAATCATTATTTGGGTGTCCTCTGCACCACGTTCCAGCCCCCCACCCGTTTAAAAAACCCTTTTTTAAAATAAAAAACAAAATTACTTCAATGTGAAAGGCTTTGGGCCCTCTGAATCTTTTTCAGAGACACTTTGTATGAAATTACCTTGCCACTTTCCTTGATTTCCTTTTTTTAATTTTTAAAACCGGGGAAAGCGGGATTTTAGTCCGGGGAGGGGGAAAAAGACAGTCCCCGCTTTCTAAAGGAGGGGTTTTTAGTTATGTATTTGCGTTTAGAGGGACATCAAAAACTGTCGTATTGTGCCCCCTCTGGAAAGCAGTGATATGTAAATTGATAATGAAAGTGTTTTTTTTTTGGGGTCAACTACCTTAGTGGGAGACACCCAGCTTGTTAAAATAAAAAAACTGTAAATGTTGAACTTTATTTAGATAAACTTTTGACTCCCGAAACATCTTAATGGGAAAGCAAAATTTATACCCCTTTTTTTGATTTATACAGTCAGTTTTATTTAATAAATAATAATTATGCAATTTATGTTTCAGTCCTGAGGTAGTTACTCGCAGTTCCCATGGCCTTGAGTCAGATGTGTGGAGTTTGGGGTGCATGTTGTTTATTATGCTTGTTGGTCATCCTCCATTTGACTCTAAGGGTGCCAAGGAGTCTATATTTACCAATGTTGTCATTGGTGATTATAAGGTATGTCAAATCGAGCTTCTTTTATTATTAACGTTCAGTATGACAATATGTATAGCATAGTAGCTTGGCACAGATATACAGTGGACCCCCGGTTATCAGCCGGTTCTGTTATCGGCAACTCAGTGATTGGCTGGTTTTTCGGCGCCCGGTTATCAGCAGTTAATTCGGTGATCACCCGTTTGGGATGCATCTGTCCGCTGGCTGGGACCGCTTGCGCATCAGTTTGGCTGTGTGTCTCAGTGGCTGAGGAAGCTTCTGCTCATACATCCAAACATTTCTCTTATTTCCCATTGTAGTTTGTGTTATTTTTGCAGTGCAACTGTGAAATAAGTAACCATGGCTCCAAAGAAAGTTCCTGTGGTAAAGAAAGTGAGAAACACCATGGAATTTAAGCGTGAAGGGATAGAAAAGTTTGAGAGTGGTATGAGGGTGGTGGAACTTGCCAGGATGTACAGCAAGAAGAAATCAACAATTACATCCATCCTGGCAAAGAACAAATCAAGGATGCTAATGTTGCAAAAGGAGTAACTTTTCTAACTAAACAAAGGCCATCAATAATGGAAGAGATGGAAAAGTTATTATTATTGTGGGTTAAGGAAAAAGAATTAGTGGGAGACAGTGTTATGGAGTCGATTATTTGTGAGAAGGCAAGACAGTTGCATGAGGATCTTACAAAGAAAAGGCCTGGAACAAGTGCTGCAGTTTGTGAATTTAGGGCCAACAAAGGATGGTTTGATAGATTTTAGAAGCGTAGTGGCATACACAGTGTTGTAAGGCATGGTGAGGCTGCAAGTTCTGACAAATGTGCGGCTTAAAAATTCGTGCAGGAATTCCAAGGGTACATAGAGGCTGAAGGATTCAAACCCCAACAAGTGTTCAATTGTGATGAAACAGGCCTGTTTTGGAAGAAAATGCCAAACAGGATCTACATTACCCAGGAGGAAAAGGCACTGCCAGGACACACGCCTATGAAAGACAGGCTTACTCTTTTGTTGTGTGGTAATGCTAGTGGGGATTTCAAAGTGAAGCCTTTACTTGTGTATCACTCGGAAAATCCCAGAGTGTTCAAGAAAAACAATGTCGTGAAGAATAGATTGTGTGTGATGTGGAAAGGTAATCATAAGGTATGGGTCACAAGGCAAATTTTCAGAGTGGGTTAATGTTGTGTTTGATCCAAGTTTGAAAAAATACCTCTTGAAAAAGAAATTGGCACTCAAGTGCTTCCTGGTACTGGACAATGCTCTTGCACATTCTCCAAACTTGGAAGACCAAGTGTTTAGGGACTTCAGTTTTATAAAAGGGAAGTTCTTGCCTCCTAACACCATTCCTCTCCTCCAGCCCATGGACCAGCAGGTCATTTCTAACTTCAAAAAACTTCACAAAAGCAGTGTTTCAAAAGTTCTTTGAAGTGACCTCGGACACTGAATTGACCCTAAGAGAGTTCTGGAGGAATCACTTCACTATCCTCCATTGCATAAGCCTCATAGGTAAGGCTTGGGAGGGAGTGACTTCTAGGACTTTGAACTCTGCTTGGAGAAAACTGTGGCCAGATTGAAGGGTTTGAGGCTGACCCTGACCCTGCCGACCCTGTGGACTCTATTGTGGCACTGGGGAAGTCCCTGGGGTTGGAGGTGAGTGGCGAGGATGTGGAAGAGTTGGTGGAGCACCACAATGAAGAGCTAACCACTGAAGAGCTGCAAGAGCTTCAACTTGAACAGCAACAGACTGCAGCTGAGGAACTTGCTTCAGAGGAGGAGGAAGAGGGAGTGAAGGAGGTATCTTCTTCATTGATTAAGAACTATTTGCAAAGTGGAACGAAGTTCAAAGATTTTTGTGAGAAGTACCATGCTGACGATAGCTGAAAACAAGTCATATCTGCAACATGTTTTAGTGACAAAACCCTGTCCCCACTTCAGGGAAATCCTTAAAGAGAATGCAGAAAACAGAGCACTCGGGACAGTTATATTGTTGAACAGGGGTCCAGTGACTCTCAAGCTGGTCCTAGTGGCATTAAAAGACAAAGAAGGGAAGTAACCCCAGAGAGGGCTTTGCTGACGAAAGTCTTTTTGGACTTTCCTCCCTCTTTCCTCCTCCCTATCTTCCAGAAGCCAGCATTAGCCTTCAATAAAGGTATGTAATATTTATATAATTGTTAAAAAAAATGTTTTTTTGTGAATATTTTTGTCTGAAACAGATTAATTGTATTTACATTAATTCTTATGGGAAATATTATTTCGGTTTTCAGCCATTTCGGTTTTCGGCCAACCTTCTGGAACGGATTACGGCCATAACCGAGGGTCCACTGTACTGTGGATTAGTCATTCTGGCATTATTTTATTAGGATGTCAGGATTTGTGAAGAAAAGAATAAATACATCTTTGCTGCAGATTTTTAAGACTAAACATTAAAATACTGTATCTCGAATAATTCACAACTGACCTGAAATCTGGGGAGGAAACTTTAGAAGACCTTTTCTACCTTTTGATGATTGGTTGTTTAATATATTTATAGATGGGTTGTAAGGAAGTAAAAAGCTAGGGTTTTTGGGAAGGGTAGGATAAATTATGGGGAATCAAATTCAAAATGGGAATTGACACAGTTACTTTTTGCTGATGATACTGTGCTTATGGGAGATTCTAAAGAAAAATTGCAAAGGTTAGTGGATTAGTATGGGAATGTGTGAAAAGTAGAAAGTGAAATGAACTGAGAAAAAGAGTAAGGTGAATGAGGGTGTCAAATGATTTTAGATAAAAAAAATTGGATATCAAAATGGGGAGGAGGAGTATGGAAGAAGTGAATGTATTCAGATACTGGGAGTTGACGCTGTCGCGGATGGATTTTATGAAGAGGAGGTTAATCATAGAATTGATGAGGGAAAAAAGGTAGTGGTGCGTTTAGGTATATGTGGAGTCAAAAAAACGTATCTATGGAGGCAAAGCAGGAATGTATGAAAGTATAGTAGTACCAACACTCTTAAGGGTGTGAAGCTTGGTGGTAAAGGCAGCAGCGAGGAGACGGTTGGAGGCTAGCGGAGATGTCCTGTTTAAGGGCAATGTGTGTGGAAATATTTGCAGAAAATTCGAGTGTGGAAAATAGGAGAAGGTGTGTGAGTAATAAAAGTAATAGTCGAAGTTCAGAAGAGGGGTTGTTGAGGTGGTTTGGTCATTTAGAGAGAATGGATCACAGTAGAAAGACATGGAAAGCATATAAATACTATAGGGGAAGGAAGGCGGGGTAGGGGTCGTCCTCGAAGGGTTGGAGAGAGGGTGTAAAACGGAGGTTTTGTGGGTAAGGGGATTGGACTTCCAGCAAGCGAGCAGAGCGTGTTAGATAGGAGTGAAATGGAGTCGAATGGTAAACTTTGTGACCTTGACGAACTGTTGGAGTGTGAGCAGGGTAATATTATGAATGGGATATCCAGGGAAACCGGTTATTATCATATATTCGGACTAGAGTCCTTGGACATGGAAAGTACAATGCCTGGCACTTTTAAAAGGAGGGGTTTGGGGGAAATTGGCAGTTTTGGAGGGACAGTTGTGTATCTTTATATGTTAATGCTTCTAGACTGTTGTATTCTGAGCACCTCAGCAAAAACAGTGATAAATGTGCAAGCGTGGTAAAGTGTCGAATGTATGATGAAAGTATTTTCTTTTGGGGATTTTCTTTCTTTTTTTTGGGTCCCCTGCCTCGGTGGGAGACGGCCGACTTGTTGAAAAAAAAAAAAAAAAAAAAAAAACAGTTGTGACTAAATAATGGTACTGGAAAGACTGAAATGTTTCTGAGGTTTCCTCCAATTGGCAAGTTAGTTGTGAATTGCTAGAACTACCTATTTTTTTAACTAAAAATTTTTGCTTTATCTTTGTCAAATGTATATTCAAGAGTTTTGAGTCTTAAAATAGCTTTTGCTATTTTAGTCTTGGCATATATTTCATGGCTTGAATTTCTAGTTTTTACAATTTCTTAAGTTTGTTTCTATATTAGTTTTGTTACTGTGCATACTTCAGCTCTGACATATATTTACAATTTAAAGATTAAGTGCCAGTCCCTTAATTAGGCCATAAAAACATATGTACACTAAATGAATTTCTTTTTGTTTTAATTTTTGAGATATTAGATTATACAATAGCTATCAAGTCATTTATATAATATATAATATATATATAATATATATATATATATATATATATGATATATATATATATATATATATATATATATATATAATATATATATATATATATGTTTTTTTTTTTTTTCCAACAAGGTCGGCCTCCGCCACACCGAGGCAGGGTGACCCAAAAAAGAACAGAAAATCCCCAAAAAGAAAATTACTGTTCATCATCATTCAACACTTTCACTACACACACACATTATCACTGCTTTTGCAGAGGTGCTCAGAATACAACAGCTTGAAGCATTTACGTAAAAAGATACACAACATAACCCCCAAACTGCCAATAACCCAAACATAACCGGTATTGAACATAAACCGAGAACATAACCATTTCCCAGATCCGTTCAACTAAATATTACCCTGCTCACACTCCAACAGATCGTCAGGTCCCAAGTATCATTCGCTCCCATTCACTCCTTATCAACACGCTCCTGCACGCTTGCTGAAATCCAAGCCCCTAGCCAAAAAACCTCCTTTACCCCCTCTTTCCAACCCTTTCAAGGACGGACCCCTACCCTTCCTTCCTTCCCCAAAGAGATTTTATATGCTTTCCTCCATGTCCATTCACTTTTGATCCATTCTCTCTAAATGACCAAACCACCTCAACAACCCCGCTTCTGCCCTCTGACTAATGCTTTATTAACTCCACACCTTCTCCTAATTTCCACAACTTCCGAATTTTCTGCATAATAATTACACCAAACATTGCCCTTAGATAGGACATCTCCACTGACTCCAACTGTCTCCTCGCTGCTGCTGCATTTTACACACCAAGCTTCACATCCATAAAGAGTGTTGGTACTACTGTACATTCATACAATTACCT